GCAGCAGCAGCAGCAGCAACAACGACAACAACACCAGCCACAGCAGCAGCAGCAGAGGGAGCAGCAGCAGTCACAGCTATATCCTAGTGGTATCCACAGGGAACGCAGCAGCATTATCAGTCACTCTACAGGTGGCCCTACTGTTTCTGCTTCTGCTGCTGCGGTTGCTGCACCTAGTAGTGTTGCTGGTGCAGCTGCATCTGCTGCTGCTGCTGCTGGTGCGGCGGCTGCTCCTGTCTCTAGTGCCTGTCGTGCTGATGCCACCACCACCACTACTGCTACCACCACTGCTGCAGCTTCTGCCACTGCTGCCGCCACTGCTGATGCTGCTGCTGCTCCAGCCACAGCAAGGGTGCGGACCCAACCCGATCTGGCAAATCCTTTGCTGCTGCAGCACAAGAGACTGTTGGAAGTCCTCGCGCAAAGTGAGTTGCAACAGTTCGCGGCATCATGTAGGGAGAGGGTGGAAGAAGCGGCGCTGAGGGAGAGGGTGGAAGGAGCGGCGCTGAGGGAGAGGGTGGAAGGAGTGGCAGCACCTGCAAGCGCAGAGGGGGCTAGAGTCAGCCAGCCTTGGACGATTGCGGAGATGCTTCTTCAGCCTCAGTCCCTGCAGCAGCAGCAGCAGCAGCAGCAGCAGCAGCAGCAGCAGCAGCAGCAGCAGCAGCAGCACAGCACAGCAGCAGCAGCAGCAGCACCAGCTCCAGCACCAGCAGCACCACAACGAGCAGCAGCACCGCAACCAGCAGCAGGAGCAGCAGCAGCAACACCACCACCACCACCACCACTACCAGCAGCAGCAGCAGCAGCAGCAGCAGCAGCAGCAGCAGCAGCAGCAGCAGCAGCAGCCAGCAGAGCAGCAGCAGCAGCAGCAGCAGCAGCACCACAACAACCACCACCAGCAGCAGCAGCAGCAGCAGCAGCAGCAGCAGCAGCAGCAGCAGCAGGCAGCAGCAGCAGCAGCAGCAGCAACCACCACCACCACCACCACCACAATCAGCAGCAGCACCAGCACAAGCACCACAACGAGCAGCACCACCACCACAAACAGGCAGCAGCAGCCAGCAGCAGCAGCAGCAGACTGATTCTGGTGCTTTGATTGGTGAGCTGCTGCTGAATCAAGGAGCACACTCAAGCCTATCATCAGGGCTTGAACAACGTCTGCAATCAATCCAATCATCAAAGCTTGATCAAGGGCTGGGATCCATCCAACCCTCAAGGCAAGATCAAGGGTTGGGATTAAGCCAATCCGTGTTGGGGTTCAATCTCGGCCGCAGCTTATGCGCAACTGCAGGCCTAGATCAGTTGCTTATCCCAAGACAATCCCTAGGTCAAGAGTGGAGGTCAGGACAATCCCTAAGTTTCACTTCTGAGCTGCAGGCAAGCCCAATTCCAGGTTCTAATGACTCAGCCCTGGGAGGTTTGGGATCAACAGGTTTGTTGTCTACACAATCCCTAGGCTTTAACATGGGCATGGATCAACAGCTAGGATTAAGCCAGCCTCCGGGGGAGAATCTGGGCAGTAGACTAGCAAGCGTGAGTGGCGCTGCTACGGGAATGACAGTAGAGACTGGACTCAGTTTACCTCTCAGTTCAGAGACGTTAGATGCTGACATCACTGCACCTCTCAACTCCGGTAATAGTAGGTCCCCGTCACTGGGTGGCAGTGCAGCAGCGCAGCATTTCTCCCACCGTTCAGGCTTGCTCGGAGGAGGGGGCTCGTGGGCCGGTGGGGTCTCGACAGGAGGGATCTCGACAGCTTGGATCTCGACAGGTGGGATCTCGTCAGGTGGGATCTCGGCAGGTGGGGTTTCCACAGGTGGTGTCTCAACGGGTCGGGTCTCGACAGGTGGTGGTGACTTGACGGGATGTGGACTCACAACAGGTGGCGGTGAGTTGATGGGCGGGGCAGGGTTGGTGGGAGCGGGTCTGTTGGATGTCACAGGTGGCTTGGCTCGTCCTTCCAGGGGTGCACAGCAGATGGGGCCTCCTCGAGCCGTGGGGGAGGGTTCAGCATTTGAGTCGCCTCAAGTGCAGCAGGTGGGGTGTCAGGCAATGGGGGAGAGATCAGGGGGGATACAGCATGTGGCTGTTTTTGAGGCGCCAATAAAAGCTCAGCACATGGGGCGTCAAGCCATGGAGGAGAATTCAGGGAGGCAAGACCAGGTGGTGGAGAGGGTTCTGGAGCGGAAGCTAGAACAGCAGCCGAGCCTGCAGCAGCAGCTGCTCTACTACTACCAACAGCAGCAGCAGCAGCAGCAGCAGCAGCAGCAGCAGCAGCAGCAGCAGCAGCAGCAGCAGCAGCAGCAGCAGCAGCAGCAGCAGCAGCAGCAGCAGCAGCAGCAGCAGCAGCAGCAGCAGCAGCAGCAGCAGCAGCAGCAGCAGCAGCAGCAGCAGCAGCAGCCTCAGCAGCAGCAGCAGTGGCAACAGCAGCAGTGGCACCAGCAAGCCCAGAAGCTTCAGGTGGTTTCTCAGGTGCAAACAACAGAGGAGCTGCAGGCTCAGATCCAGCAGCTTCTAACAGGTGCTGGCTCTGGGGGGATTAGTCAATTGCCGAGAAACCTTCAACAGCAGCAGCAACAGCAACAACAACAGAAACAGAAACAGAAACAGGAACAGCAGGCAAAGCAGGAACCTGTTTGAAGTGGTGAGGCCAGCTGCAAGGAACCTATTTGAAGTGCTGGGGTCAGCAGCAAGGAACCAGCAGGCGAAGCAGGAACCTGTTTTGAGGCGCCTCAAAATCAGAAAGGATCGGGGGAGAGGCAGGAGCGTGGATCAAGTGCAATTTTCAGAGGGCTTTGGCGCCAAGAGGGGAAGCGGGAGCGCGTATCAAGCACTGGCAGTATTGGTGATACCAGTGATGGGAACAGGGGGAAGCAGAACCGGTGCATCTGTGTCAAGTGCTGGGTCAGCAGTAGTGAGGCGCCTCAGAATCAGAAAGGATTGGAGGAGAGGCAGGAGCGTGGATCAAGTGCAAGGGTCGGAGGTCCTAGGCACCTAGAGGGGAAGCGGGAGCGCGTGTCAAGTGCTGGCACTATTGGTGATACCTGTGATGGGAACAGGGGGAAGCAGACACACTGGTGCATCTGTGTCAAGGGCTGGGGTCAGGGTTTGACAGATGGGCACTCTGCAATGGCCATCAGCACTCAAGAGATCCCAGCACTTTTGGTGGCTCTTGAGTCACTTGTGCTGGGGTCAGATGCACACCCCGCACTGGGTGGGATCAGGGCTCAACCGATGCACACCACGCACTGGATGGGGTCAGGGCTCAACCGATGCACACCCCGCACTGGGTGGGGAAGCAGACGGAGCAACACAGCATGGAAGGCGGCTGTGGAAACAGCGGAGGCAGGGACATCAGTCGGGACGGCAGCAGTGGCACCAACAGGAGCAGTGGCACCAGCAGCAGCAGCAGCAGCAGCAGCAGCAGCAGCAGCAGCAGCAGCAGCAGCAGCAGCAGCAGCAGCAGTGGCACCAGGCACACCAGCAGCACCAGCTGCAGTGGCACCAGCAGCACCAGCAGCACCAGCAGCACCAGCAGCACTAGCGGCACCAGCAGCACCAGCTGCACCAGCAGCACCAGAAGCACCAGCAGCGCCAGCAGCACCAGCAGCACCAGCAGCACCAGCGGCACTAGCGGCACCAGCAGCACCAGCAGCGCCAGCAGCACCAGCATCACCAGCAGCACCAGCAGCACCAGCAGCACCAGCAGTACCAGCAGCACCAGCAGTACCAGCAGCAGCAGCAGCAGCAGCAGCAGCAGCAGCAGCAGCAGCAGCAGCAGCAGCAGCAGCAGCAGCAGCAGCAGCAGCAGCAGCAGCAGCAGCAGCAGCAGCAGCAGCAGCAGCAGCAGCAGCAGCAGCAGCAGCAGCAGCAGCAGCAGCAGCAGCAGCAGCAGCAGCAGCAGCAGCAGCAGCAGCAGCAGCAGCAGCAGCAACTAAGGGAGAGACGATCTGGAAACAGTAGCAGCAGCGGTTGTGGCAGCAGTCAGACATCGTTGCGACAAGTATTTCCAGGGAGCGCAGGGAGAGCACGGAGTGCTGGGAGTGTAGGGAGTGCAGGGAGTGCAGGGAGTGCAGGGAGTGCAGGGAGTGCAGGGAGTGCGGGGAGTGCAGGGCATGCAGGGAGTTCAGGGCGTGCAGGGAAAGCAGGGAGTGCAGGGCATGCAGGGAGTGCAGGGCGTGCAGGGAAAGCAGGGAGTGCAGGGCGTGCGGGGAGTGCAGGGAGTGCAGGGAGTGCAGGGAGTGCGGGGAGTGCAGGGCATGCAGGGAGTTCAGGGAGTGCAGGGCATGCAGGGAGTGCAGGGCGTGCAGGGAGTGCAGGGATTACTGGGAGTGCAGGGAGTGCTGGGAGTGAAGGGAATGCAGGGAGTGCAGGGAGTGCAGGGAGTGCTGGGAGTGCAGGGAGTGCAGGGAGTGCAGGGAGTGCTGGGAGTGCTGCGAGTGCAGGGTGTGCAGGGCGTGCAGGGCGTGCAGGGCGTGCAGGGAGTGCTGGGAGTGCTGGGAATGCAGGGAGTTCAGGGCGTGCAGGGCGTGCAGGGCATGCTAAGAGTGCAGGGAGTGCTGGGAGTGCTGGAAGGGCAGAGAGTGCAGGGAGTGCTGGGGGTGCAGGGGGTACTGGGAGTGCAGGGAGTGGGAGTGAGGGGGACTTGCAAGTGACAGCAGCATGCCATGGATACATCCAGGCAATGCCACTGGCAGAGATGGTTGCAGTGTAGAGATGACTTCCGAGTCAGATCAAAAGGCATGCGTAGAACACGCTTCAGCTGTTGAAAGGAGCACCACACCACACCACACCACACCACACCACACCTCACCACTACTAGCATGTGCTTGTCAGATCTCGAGCTGAATAATCGGCATGAGTATTATGCACTTGCTAACAAATAAGCACTGCCATATAAACAATGCTCGCAATGGGAAAAAATGGCCAGGTGGAATGAAGCACAATGAAGCACAAAGAGAACAAAGCACAAAAAGGATTGATTAACGAGGAAACAATACAATTGAGGCAACATCAAAACAGCAGGGAGCATGGATATAGCTAGCCCAGAGCACACGGTCGTGGCTCGGCAGAGCTGCAATGTGTGGTTTGTAAATTGGCGTGAAGCGCCCAGATCTAGGCATGCAACAGCAAGGCCGGCAACAATGCATGCGGCTCAACAGGACACATTCGGGACCGCGATTTCAATTTCGTGGCAGAGCTGCGCGGCAACCCCGTTATAGCAGTGTACTGTGTACGCCTTACTGACTAAAACCCGTGATAAGGAAAGACCATTTCCTTACACCCTCCCCCCTCCAAGGTATGGTCTTAGCTAAGACCATCGACGTTGCGCACATTGTGTGACTGAAGGTAGACTCGTAACACCGTGTAATTCTCGATCTGTGCCAGGGGCACCCAACTGTTTTCCAGGGCCGTCTGGTCTGTCCAAGATATCAGAAACTCGATCAGGTGAGCCCCTCGAGGGTCCTTGATCCGATGGATATTCAGATTCGCTCGGTGACGTGGTATTTTGCTGGTGCTAGCGATGTATGGTCGAAGTAATCGCACGTGGAATGATGGGCTGACGTTCCAGGTGGCCGGTAACAAAAGATGGGCTGTACCGGAAGATATGATATCATGTGGCTCATGGTGAATGGTCCACAATAGCGAGGGCGAAGTTTCGGGACGATGGGCAGTCGAAGGTTCTGGATGTCAAGTAGTACTAAGTCTCCAGCCTAGTAAGTTACTGCTTGTCGGTGTAGAGTAGATCGGTGTTGCGCTTAGAAATAACATTCGCGCGCTTAATGGCTTCGGCTGCTCGTTCCCCGGCATTCTGTAATATTTCGGCAAATTCCAATGTCTGATTGGCCCGTTCGGTGTGTCCGTCGGTCTCGGGGTGGTAGGCGGAGGAGAATTGCAGACGCGTGCCAAATTGTTCCCAGAGGTTGCGCCAAAACTTATCGCAGAATTTTGTGTCACAATCCGAAATGCTAGCGGATGGAATTCAGTGGAGGCGAACCACGGTTGAGATGATAAGGCCGGCCGTTTCTTCGGCTGCGATACTTTTTTGCAGGCGGCGAAGTGGGCCATCTTCGTCAGCTTATCGACGATGACAAATATCGCGTCATTACAGCCGTCCTTGACAGGCAATCCCATAATAAAATCCATCGCCACCTGCTGCCACGCGCGTTCAGGCGGTGGAATCGGCTGCAACTGTCCAGCTGGCTTCTGCTCTGATGATTTCATGGTTTGGCAGGTTCTGCACGAAACCACATGCCGCTGCACGTCCCCTTCCATATCGGCCCAGGAATAGTATCTGGTCAACTGCTGCGGTGTTTTCTCCACTACTAAGTGCCCCGAAACGGTACATTCATGGGCTTCATGTAACAGTAGCTTTTGTAATAAACTGTACTCTGGTACCAATATGCGGTCAGTCCCTGTCTTTACGTAATAGACTCCTTTAGCTGTTGCGAGCTGTTCGTACGCACCCGACGTAAAGAATCTGTCCGTCTGTTACCCGTTGGTAAAATAGGTGTGTTAATAACAGAGATGTTTGGGCGAGAATGATGGAGTTGAGATGGGCGGATGGGCGAGAAATGGGGTCTGCAATATTCGATGCCCCCTTTTTGTAGGTGACTGTGTAGTGGAAGTTGGACTCCATGAAATCCAACCACCTGATATGTCGAGGGTTTAGTAGCGGCTGCGCGCGGATGTACTGTAGGCTTCGGTGGTCCGTAAGTACTGTCACGTCCGCGCCTGTCAAGTAGCACCGCCACACCTTGAAGGGGTGCACGATCGCGAGCATCTCCTTGTCATGTTTCAGATGATTTCATTCGGGCGGGTGCGGCTTTCGTGACTCGTACGCGATTGGTTGCAATCCTTCGCCAAAGTCTTGTAACAGTACTGCTCCGATGGCGATGTCGCTGGCGCCTGTGATTACTTCGAATGGGCGGTGAGGATTGGCGATGCGAAGGACAGGGGCTGAGCACATAAAAGTTTTGAGCACAGAGAAGGCACCTTGCTCTTTCTCCCCCCACCTATACTCAGTCCCTTTCCACATCAGGTCGGCTAACAGTACAGTTACCCTCACCATACTCGGGATAAATCTCCGAACATAATTGACAAACCTTAAAAAAATTTGCAGCTCCTGCAGGTTCTTAGGCGGTAGCCAGGCTTGCACCGTCTCGATTTTGTGCGAGTCCACTTTGACGCCCCTAGCGGAAATAACGTGTCCCAGAAATTCTAAGCGGTCTTTAAAGGACTCGCACTTAGACCCCTTCGTGAGCAGCCGATGCTCCTGTAGTAGCGTGAAAACTGCTTCAAGGTCCTTTAAGTGCTGCTCCCAAACCTCGCTGTAGATCAATATATCATCTAAGTAGACTATAACACACTTATCTACGAGGGAACTGAAGATCTAGTTCATGGTCATCTGAAACGTTGCTGAGACGTTTGTCAGACCTAAGGGCATAATTGTACATACTCGAAACTCCCGTACCTAGTACAAAACGCAGTTTTGTAATAGTCACCTGCGGCTACGCGAATCTGATGGTAACCCCCTCGTAAATCTATTTTTGAGAAGAAGCGAGCTTTGCGAAGTTGGTCAATCAGTTCGTCGGCCCGCGAGATAGGGTAACGCGACTTGATAGTCACCCTGTTCAGTGCTTTGTAGTCAGTGCACATTTGGTATCGGGTTGAACAATATGGGGGCGGCAAATGGCAAGGAGCTCAGGCGGATGATTTTTTTCTCCAGTAAATAAGCTACAGTAGCTGCTTCCGTAATTCCTCTAACATCAGCTATGTTAATCGAAACTGCTGCTGCTCTGTGGGCTATGTCCCCGGTTCTAATTCTATTCGATGGTCGAAGGGTCATTCCGGTAGTAATCCCTCAGGCAGGTCGTCTAGAAATATCTGCGGAAATTTGTGAATCAGATGCGCAAGATCGGCCGGCACTGCTGCTGCCAGCTTCTCTAAATCGGATGGCTACGATGCCACGTCGACTGCACAAATAACTACAGCGAAGACTTCTGCGCCTCGTGCGACTGCACGTTTGATCGCCACGAAGTTCCCCTGCGTCACCCCCCTTGTGATCCCCTTCGTCCATTCTGGTAACATCACACTGCAGCCATTGATTTTGACAGAACACCTGCCGGTCGTCCAGTCAATTTTCGGGTTGAACCGTCGCATCCAATCCCGTCCCAACAATATGTCAAAACTGTCGAGTGTAGTTGCCTGCATCCCCATCGAAAAATTGAATTCAACTCCGCAGCATACCCTAATTTTGTCCGCCCAATCTTTTACTGCTAGTGGGTTCCCATCGACTAGTCGCGCGTCAACCTCCGGTAGACACTTATCTAAGGGTAACTTCATTTTTTTTGTCGTGGCGAGGCTGATCAGGTTGTGGCTGGCTCCCCCGTCCACGAAGATTTTTTTTCCCCCCTTGAACCCTACCCTCTAAATTAATGGGGTAATCCGCCGCTCCACCCTCATTATTTAGCCGAGTTTGGCCGATTGCGTGGATCGGTACCACTCGATGAGGGTCATCGGTCACAGGTGGGCAGGTTCCATCACTAGTAGGCCCGTTTACTACTGATACTAAGCGTTTCCCTGGTCGCTGGAATTCCCCTGCCCCTGATTCTGCTTCTTCCACTCCTCTAGGCATTCTGACTTGCGGTGTCCCAGCCTGTTACACCCGAAACAAGGACCCTTGAACACTGTAATTGCTGAGTTTGATGTTGTAACATCGTGTACAGTGGCAAGCTCGATTGGTCCCCGAGTGCGACTTCCGTCATAGGAACCCGCCCTTGGCTTGAAGAACGAATCCAACCGCTCTGCAACCCTCTGCGCCTCCATCAAATCCGTAATTTCCCTGATCTGTATTTCTTTGCGCAGACCTGGTAGAAGTCCCCCAATTTATATGTTGAATTTCTCGTCAGGGTGAATGTAGCGGACCTGGTCGCATCAAGTATTGAAGCTGCTGGTGTAGTCCTCTACCGATCCGCGTTGGTGCCACGTGCGAAGGCGGTCGCGCGCTTAATTGCTTGCGTTGACGTGTTCAAAGCGGCGACGAATTTCCGCGCATCACGATCACCATGTGCGGTACTCATCCACTTCGCAATAACTTCTTGCCCAGTGATTGGTCATGCGAAAATGCCCGATCACGCGCGGCGTTATATCCGGCTCCTTCGACTGAATTATCTGCTGTCACCAATCCATAGCCGGTCCACATAGGAGCGACACGGCGTATCGGATTTTCTGTGCGTCGTCGCTGGCGAGGTTGCAGTTGTAAAAAACGTTCAGGTGAAAAATCCACCCGCTGACAGACAACTATTAGTTGGCAGTTTGCAAGCCGGTTGGAGAGGTAATTGGGGGTGACAAATTCCCGTTTGTCTTTTCGCCAATTTCCGGTCGTCCAATAGACGGTGACAGATTGTTAGTCGAACCCTCGGGCGAAGCCGCATGTGGTCGCTGATTGTCGCCCGGTATTTCGGAACGCTGCAGGGTTACTTGCTCATGTTGTCCTTGATTTGTTGTTGGTACAATCATGTTGTGTCGTATATGAGGCAATCGGCTCTGAAGTGCAAATATCTCATATTCAGTTTGGATCGTTTCCGCTCGCAGACGCGCCAACTCCTGCATATACAACTCGTGAGTAAGACGAACTTCTTCAAGTGCTGCCACATTTTCTTCAGGAGTCATGGTGGTAGACGCCGACGGATCCACCATTTCGCGGAAAGTTTTGGGCGGCTTTCGGCACGCTGGCATTGCGAACATAGTCGTGGCTGTAGGTAATTTTCAATTTATATTACCAGGATATCGGATATGCAGTAAGCGGAGGGCGTCAGTGTTAGGAGAGGTTTTTAGCTAGGTAGGAGAAAGTAGCGAGCGAAA